TACAATGACATCAGGTCATATACAAATGCATTCTTCCGCCCACTCTTATAACAATAATTCGAATCCAATTTTTTACGAAATTTGTTAAAAAAAAAAACAAATTTAATGTTCATGATAACTACAACCGTATCATATGTGTGATATGCGTCATCAGATTCAGAGGTGTCACTTGGATTCGTACCACACCAAGGAAAAGGTCAGAGCCCCATCATTGTCTCAATTATCACTACTGTGAAAGAGAGAGAGGAAACTACATGAGATGAGATGAGATCATAATCAGATTACCTATTGCAAAACAAAGTTTTTTTTTTTAAGTATAAAATTATATAATTTAAATGATTACGTAGATGTTGTTTTGTTTAAATAAATAAGTTGTTGTTTACGATCCAAATCAAATGTTTTATTATTTAGTTGTTTGTGAAAATATCATTTTGAATTGAAAGTTTAAGTCTTGGGTAATTTTTTTTTTATTCTTTCTTAATATAATTGGTTTAATTGTTATTTGTTTAAAAAAATTTAAATAAATAATTTTTTTATTTATGATATAAAACAATTTAAATTATAAAATAAAATAATTTTGTTTTTGTGATTCTATTATGTACGAACTTTACCTATTGCAGGAATGAGCAATTGCAGCTGCACACTTTTTGATATTTTCCTATCGACGATTTTGTAATTCATCCCAATTACATTTTCGTATATCTTGTGAATTGGTAATAATCAAAATTTCCCTAATAATGTGGAGTGTAAGACACCATGACGTCCAAACGAAGGTTTGGTTTGTCCCATGCTGTACCTAGTTTGGCTGATCTTCTTAACATTGGCTGATCTTTTTTACAGAATGGATGGTTTTTTTTCGGTCTTTTGCTAAAAATGGACACAAACTACTAATAATATCATCATCACTTACACCAACTTCATTTCGACGGCCTGATTGCGTCACTTTTTATTGTTAATCCGCAGTGTACAGTACGCCTGTCACAACCCCCATATCATTTTCTACGACGCAGTCTTTTGATATTTGCAGAGTTACGGGCACGGTTATGGGTATTGTTATTCTAAGTTCTAACCCTTAAGATTTTCCTCAAAAAAAAAAAAAAAAAAA